GAGAAAATGCTTTGTACTTTTCTGTATTTAGCATGAGTCAGGATCCTAGAACCTTGTTTAGAAAGACCAGTACCCAGATGCAAATTACAATAAGCTTTGTTCTGCATTTGTAGCCTGGAAAGGACCTCATCCCCAAGGATGATAAAGGCAATGTCATCCCCAGTAAAGCATCGTTCTTGGATACCTGGGAGGTAGGTTCCAGCTTCTTTGAAGTGTGCTGGGAAAGTGTTGTTCCTTCACTTACCCTGGAGACTACCATGGTTTGGAAGAGCCCATGTGCCATGAGTTTGATTTCATCACTGTTATTCTATAGTTCTTGTGTTTTCTTGCTCATGACCTGTGAGTTTGTGGTTCACCTGACTCTGTTTACTTTCTGAAGGCTAAGACTGAGCCCTCAAATGACATGGAAATATAACACAGCATTTTATGGGACACATATAGTGTTTCAAAAATATGGGGAAGTATTTTGAATGGTTTGACCTCAATTTATGAGTATTAATGGGGTAATCTAAGGTAATTATTTTGAATTTCATAAGTCTCTGTTTCTTCATTTTAGAAGTACCTTCTAATATATATGCAGTGTAATTTAAATGTACGGTGAATGTTTCAATTAAAATTTTATTTCAGGAAGCCAGGTGTGGTGGTGCATGCCTCTAATCCCAGCACTCTGGAGACTGAAGCAAGAGGATTGTTGCAAGTTCAAGACCAGCCTGGGTACAAAGTGAGGTCAAGGCCAGCTTGAACTGCATGGCTAGACGCTGTCTCAAAACAAAAAAGAAACGAAAAAGAAAAAATGTATTTATTTCCGTAAAATACACATTGGTAATAATTCCCCTCCAAACACTTCCCTTTGCTTCAAACGCACTTATCCCATCTTTCTTGACACTTTCTGAACCCATTCTGGATGTCCTCTTTCGTAAGTGTCTTTATGGGATGTTATTAAATTTATCAGTGATGCTGCTCCTAAGTGTCATCCCATGGAGAGGCAAGCTCCTAAAAAGGTTATGTCCTCATCCACCTATTCACTGGATTTGCTACTGCAGTAGCAAAGTGAATATTAAAGGTAAACATTTTTAATTGATTCAGAACATCCAGGCAGCCACTACAGTGCAACTAAGGACTCTCACAAAAGAGGCCTTCCAAAACTGTTTCAGAAAGTGGTAATAATGTTGGGGTGAGTGTGTTGGAAACAGGAATTATAGCAATGTGCCTTTTACTGTAATACATTTTTAAAAAATTGAATATTTTCCATTCTTTCAATCTCACCTTTTGTTATTAATAAATATCTTTCAGGATCTGGTAAAGAATAAGATAGCTAACATGCCACAAACTTCACTTTTAGAGCTCATTTA